GTAAAAAGAATTGTTCTTCTTTCATAAAAATTAATTTACTTCTATATACAAAGTGTCCCAATATTCCGTGGACATTGAACTACTACGTAATTTTGAAATCAAAATAAGTTCATTGGACACAATTTACCTCTATACAAAAGTGCTTCGTTTATCCGCTAGAGGGCATCAAACTTTTAAAATTTATTATTTTTTTAAGCTTTTTATGAAGCTTACTATCAAATATAATTTGTGATGCTAACATAAAATTCCATATTTTCGTCAACTAAATTATTAGAACATAATAGATTTTATGCGCCTCCATAGCTTGATGTGATAAGAAACATTTTTTTGGAAATCAGCTTTGGACAAATAGTTTTTTTTCTCAAAAAGTAGCGCGGTGACGTTTTTTTGACATGAGAAAATAAATGTAGTAAATACTAGAAGGTTGTGTGTGGTCGAGTTGGAAAATATTATAGGTACTTTTTCTCGGTTTTTGTGAAAGTCAAATGTTAAAGAACTTAGCTAAACATAGACACCCAAAATTTAATTCAAATCGGAATAACGGTTCTTAAAATATCTGAAAAAATGTGTTTTTTAAAGTTTGATGAAAGTTTTTTAAAGTTTAAAATTTTTAAAGTTTGATGCTCTGTAATAGACAAACGAAGCACTTTTGTATAAGGTAAATTGTGTCCAATGAACTTATCTTGATTCCAAAAATACGTAGTAATTCTATGTCCATGGAATATTGGAACACCCTGTATGTTATATTACATATTTATTTATATATTTTCCACATTTATTGCAATCTATTTGGCACACACTGTACAAATGCTTGATACATTAAAAAAATATATATTTTAAAATTATATAGTACAGAGTATTGCTAAGTATAGACTGTCCAACAAAAGAATAGTTTGGCAGACAACAGCAAATAATAGACAGAAAAAAAATCAAATACAAATCAAGAGTTTTCCTTCCCTTCGACATTTTATATCAAACTATACCGGGTGCGTCTCAAACGTGGCTCACCTCTATAACTTTTATATTTTTTCAGATAAATAAACGAGATTTGGTATGTTAGTATATGACATAAATTAGGATTGATTGGTGTATTCAATTGTTTTTGGTCACTTCTGGTTTCACCGGAAATGACTTTTGATTTTTAAATGGTACCCTCGGTTTTTTTTACTTTATTCGATAGAAAATGACATTCTGAATAGAATGACATATCATATGTCAACTTTTGACATTCTCGCTTAATAAAAAATTGTATTTTAAAATTCAATCTAGGGTGCCATGGCTATGTTAAAAGCACTAATTCTTCATCAAGGAGCCTTGGAAAAATAGATTCGATCGTTAGAAAATGCTCAAATTGTATTTTTAATCATATCTCAATTTTTTCAAATGGAACGAGGGTGGCTCATTAGCATATTTGGAAAAGCATTTTTTTACGAATAATTTGATACCACACACTTACAAACCGCAAGTTTTAGTTTCAAATAAACCATATACGAATATGTCAAAAGTTGACATATGATATGTCATTCTATTCAGAGTGACATTTTCTATCGAATAAAGTAAAAAAATACCGGGAGTGCCATTTAAAAATCAAAAGTTGTAGTAATTTCCGGTGAAGCCGGAAGTGACCAAAATCAATTGAATACACCAATCAATCCTAATTTATGTCATATACTAATATACCAAATCTCGTTTATTTATCTGAAAAAATAAAAAAGTTATAGGGGCGAGCCACTTTTCAGACGCACCCGGTATTAAATTCAGTAAATCGTAAAAATATTGGTTTTGTAGTAAATATACTCAAACACGTTGATTAGTATTTATAACATACTGTACATTTTAATGTACAGGGTGTCCCACTAATAATAGCTCTCGGCTGTATCTCGGAAAGTATTAGTCGTAGGGCTTGCGGAAAAAAATATTTATAAAGAGACCATGAGAAATTGCTGAAAATTAATCTCAAATTTGTAGAACGGCCGCTAGAGGGCGTAACTGTTATGGAAAAAAACAAAATTGAATTTTTAAGAAATTTTGCCTAGATACGATGTACTATAAGTAATAATGTGTTCTTTTTTTATAAATTGGATTAGGATCGAAAGAAATCAACAGAAGTCCTTTGTTTTAAATTTGTCGACGTTTCGCAAAATTTATTTGCATCTTCAGGACAATTTAAATCTGGACTTTCTTAGTCATATCCATTAATACACGGATGGTATAGAGGGGAGTGGTATATATCCCTTTTTTCCTTTTAAAACACATAACACACTTACATAAAAAAAACACATAACACAATTATGTATAGAGAAATATCACGAAAATCTTTTCCTTTCACAGACAAGCAGTGCAGATGTACCTACGTTGACCGTATACAGAGAGCAACTCTGTTGTGTCGTGTGTTGTGTCAGTTGCTCTCTGTATACGGTCAACGTAGGTACATCTGCACTGCTTGTCTGTGAAAGGAAAAGATTTTCGTGATATTTCTCTATACATAATTGTGTTATGTGAGGGCTTGCGGAAAAAATATTTATAATAATTAAAGAGACCATGATAAATTGCTGGAAATTTTTCTCAAGTTTGTAGAACGGCCGCTAGAAGGCGTAACTGTTATGGAAAATAACAAAATCGAATTTTTAAGAAATTTTTGCCTAGATACGATGTATTATAAGTAATAGCTTTATAATCTTTGGTAAATTTTGAATATTTTTTGTCAGAACCATTTTTCCCTATCTGCTAAAATAAAGTGGTGGGGGAAGGTTAGATATGTTTTTATTTAAATGTTAATAACTCCGGACTGGATGATCGAAATCCAACAAATGAGGGCTCGTTTAAAAGAGCGTTTCTTGCTCTATATTATACTACACAAACATCAAAAATAAGCTTTTGAATGTAGACGCTAGGGGGCGCTGTCTTACAATTTAACAAACATTACGCGTTTTTCCAAAAAAGTTAAATGCGATAGTATATGTAATTTTAGCTGATACTAAAGAGTAATAAAAGCTTAAAAAGTCAGCAAAAACCGCATCTTGATATCTTTTTTTAAAGTAAGCCCTTAGTTACATTATTTTCTAACACGGTATCACTAGCCGTCTTGATTACGCTCATTCTAATAAAAAATAACACAACAAAACACCTTTTTCTTATTTTTTATAGCAATTGCGCCTTCTTGCGACCTTTCTACAAACTTGAAAATAATTTCCAGCAATTTCTCATAGCCTCTTTAGTTACAAATACTTTCCGAGATACAGCCGAGAGCTATTCTTAGTGGGACACCCTGTACAAATATATATGTACAGGGTGGGTCAAATTCGACGCTTTTAAATGGAAACACCCTTTTCTATAGGAGATAGACGAAAACTAATATCGGTGTCTGGAGCTCAATTTTCATCAAACTGTTACCGTTTCGGAGTTACGGGGTGTTTTTCAAAAATGTGCATTTTTAACAAATCGCTGTAACTTTTTTGCTATGAAAAATTTTGTATTTCTATGAAAATATTTCCAAAGCACCTTTTACGTAGAATTTAATGGTTTAAGTATAATTTTTTTAAAATTAATAATTTAAGAGTTATCAACAGAAAATTTGATTTTTTATTTGGGACACCCTCTATATTTTTAATTAACTGAAAAGAATTTAAAATTACCTTTCCAAAAATATAGCACACTTGATATTTTGTTATAATCCCCTTCGAAATACAGAATTTTTAACAGTTCGCCACTTTTAATTAGTAGGCTTTGGACCCCTTATTGATGATATGCCCTTAATGGAAATCGAAAACATTATATTTCCAGCAAGACGACGCACCGCCTCTGAACGCTGAAGTTATCAGCAAATTTTTGCAGCCAATTTCAAGAATAATTGAATAGCTAACCAAGATCCCAGCCATTGGCCGTCGAGGCCGCCTAACTTAGTACCCATGGATATAATCCTATGGATATATTTGCGGAAGAATAAAGGTTCCTTATTCTTCCATATAATCTAGACAAGAATTAAAAATACTTAGCAGTTATGAGGGGGTATCTTTCACCCCCACCGAGTTAATGAATTCCGCGAGAAATGTTCAAAAACTGACCCGTCTGTCCATAACAGAAGAACGGTTGATATGTCGAACACCTGTAGCAAAATCTCATGTCTTGGTTTGCTATTTATATTTATTGTTATTAGATATAGTTTAAATGTGTTGATGTTGGTTAAATATATTTTAAATTGTTATAAAATTCTGCATCTCTCATAACAAATATTATTTTCGTTTTAATTGATGCTCACAACTAGAATTTTTTTGCATTACAGCCGGTGCCGTTCAAAGCCTACTTATTTAAAGAGGGCGAATTTTTATATACTCTATATCTCGAAGAGGAATTGAGCAAAATATCAAATGTGTTATATTTTTGGAAAGCTAATTTTTAAATTCTTTTCAATAAAAATTAAAAATATACAGGGTGTCCGATATAAAAATCAAATTTTCTGTTGATAATTCTTAAATTATTAATTTTAAAAAATTATATTTAAACCATTAAATTTTACGTAAAAAGGTGCTTTGGAAATGTTTTCATAAAAAAACAAAATTTTCCATAGCAAAAAAGTTACAGCGATTTGTTAAAAATGCATATTTTTGAAAAACACCCCTTAACTCCGAAACGGTAACAGATATCGATATGCGGTTTTCACCGTTATGTTTTTGACAAAAATTGAGCTCCAGACACCGATATTAGTTTTTGTCTATCTCCTATAGAAAAGGGTGTTTCCATTTAAAAGCGTCGAATTTGACCCACCCTGTACAACAAACCTATAACAAATGCATTATGTGGTAAAGGCCACATTACAATCCGTATTTAGAATATGAATTTTGATTTTAAGATGTATATAATATTGTACCGTATGATCGAAAAAAAAAAACGGCGTCCAGTTGGCTTGGAAATAAACATCAATGACACTCCCCTTATAATTTTACATATAAAATGACAGCGATCTTCATTTCAAAGCCATCGCTAACGCCGGTTTTTTTTTCGATCATATGGTATAAGATGTATTAATATTATGTTACTTATATTTTAAAAACCATTCTTCATATTGAAAGAACAATTTAAATATAAATTACCAAGAAAAAATAACACATATTTTGGTGTTCTGCCATACTGTGAAAAGATACATATATTTGGACATACTATACAGTACATTTTTAAAGCATTTATTAAACCTAGCCTACGCTCAATCAGTCTATGTCACTTTAAAATGTGTCCCTCGCTTTATCATACAGTACACTTAATCATAGAAAATTACACCAGTGACAGAATTTGCAACAATACACCTAAACACAGCAAATTACTAAAACAATGTTTAATATAATTTAAAAAAATACCAAAGTAGAAAATAAAGTGTTTTGGTGTATTGTGGATTTAACCACATTAGAGTAATTTTCTGTTGTAGCAACAAGTATTTCAAATCGTTGTTACAACACCTCCAACAAAAAATATCTTATGAATCATGATTTATATTTCTCAGACACATACTTCAACGTCCTCCAAAATCACAATATTGTCTAAGCTAGCTAATTTAATAAGAGATTTCTTAATTCTAAGCGCAGGCAATCGCACGTTTGGATTATGATGCCAGCACTCCTTTACTAGTTTTGCCATTCCGCTTAGAACCTGCAAATTAAATAAATTCTTTCATTAGAAGTAGTCAATCATTAAAGATTTATATAAAAAAATCAGCCACAAAAAATTTCTGCCCAACAACAAAATAATTATACGTGTATCCAAGAATTTTTAACACATTTAATATAGTATACAGGGTGCTACAAATTCGGGGTACGAGCAGCATTGATATCTCGGTAACCATAATAGATACGAACATGTTTAAATTGAGGCAAAGTTGCGCCTTGGGATGTTCACCCAGATGCCATCAAAAAAGTTTTAAAATTTTTAAGGATTGCCGAGTTATTTGGAAAAAACGGATCACAACCGGCATTTTTTATTTCAGATTTTGGAAGAATTCGGTCTCCCGAGTACAATGATGTGCCACTTAGAATTTTTTTTAGCATTTAGAATGAGTGGGAGGGGGGTTAATCACTGCGACCTTACAGATCCATTGTGTCCCCCTTTCTTGAGTCATAACTCATCATACAGTCCCAGGGCTTTGACAAAAGCCAGTATCTGGGACGGTTTTATAGAGGGTAGTTCTCCATCTCCAATATCAGTCGTACCAAAGTTCATGGCACGAATGGTTGTCGTCTCGGCGCACTCAGTGATGAGGTGTACTGTGTTTCCTCATTTTCCCCACAGAATCTGCATTCGCCGTTTCTTCTTAGTTTCAATCTACTGAGGTGTTAATTGAGGAGACAGTGTCCTGTTAAAAACCCCGTGACAATCCGAAGATTGTTCTTACTTAAACCCAGGAAGATCTGTGATTTTTCTTAATCATAAGCCCTCAGAAACTTCTTCGAGTGTCTTAGACCGTTGCAAGATTCCCACTCCAGGTTGCGGACGGAATCTTCCAAGTTTTTGAGTTCCGCCTTGAGTTGATTACCACTTGGAAAGCAGAACGGTTCTGGTCCAGTTAGTGGAGTGTTCGCTCCTTTTCTAGCTAGATCATTTGCTTTTTCATTGCCTTCTATCCCTTGGTGAGCAGGCACCCAGAGTAGGAGGACTTTGTTTTCTTTGCCTAATTTATTCAGCTTCTCTATGCATTCTTTGGCCAATTTCGAATTGATTGATACTGAGTTGATCCTTTTAACGCTGCTTGACTATCAGACAAGATGGCTATTTCTTGTTTCCGATAGTTCCTATCTAAGATAAGTTGTACGCATCTTTCGATAGCGTAGATTTCTGCCTGTAGGATACTAGGGTAAGTGCCCATTGGTTCGGAGTATTTAGCTCTCGGCCCAAACACTCCGATCCCTGTTCCCCTATTGGTTTTGGAAGCAGCAGTATACCAAGTTATGGTATGGTCTTTTAACTGCTGGGCAAGCGTTTCGCTCTTCCAATCCTTTTTATTGCTCAATACTACATTGAGATGTTTCTCAGAGTTGTACGTTCTTGGCATATCGTCCACTGGGAGTTGCAGGAGTGGTATTTCCTTTTTGAGGGTGTTCCAAGCCCCTGATCTATGATGTGCCACACTTAATATGTTTTTTTTTGTTTTGGGCATTTAAACACAATTTATTTAAACTAATTTCAAGTCCGGCTCTGTTTTTTTTTAATATTTAATCTATTCATTGTTATGATATTGATGTAGCCAAAGGGGCGGGGGCATTACTTGACGTCATTTGTAAAAGTGAAATTAATACACCTCAACATTTACAACAAAGAGTACAAAATGCATTCGGAAGTATAAGAAGAAGATCTGTTGAAAGACCTATACAGGGTGCTACAAATTCGAGGTACGAGCATTGGTATCTCGGAAACCTTAATAGATATGAAGATGGTTAAATTAGGGCAAAGTTGCGCCTTGGGATGTTCACCAAGATGCCATCAAAAAAGTTTTTAAACGAAAACTAAACAGTATCTGCTGGCGGAACGAATGGATATGTTACTAGTGGTTTTATTTTGTTAGGAAAATTGCTTCTTGGCCTCAAGAGATTATGCTCAAAGATATCCAAATAGGAATCTTTCTGATAAGTGTTCCTTTGAAAAACTACTTGTCCTATTTCGCAGAGTTGATAGTGTAGTATATAAAAAAAAACCTATTAGGCAGAAACCTGTCGTTGGAAGTGAAGTAAATGAATTTGCCGTAATTTGGCTCTTTTATAGATAATCCATATAATATCTACAAATCATCGTAAAATAAAACAAAGAACTACTTCTTCGTTTTTCTTAATAGAATAATAAATACATATTTAATAAATATTATTTATTAAACTATTGTATGTAAATTAAATAAAAATAAACTGATATAAATTTAAATAAAGTCCATAAACTAATTTCGATTTTAAAAATAGTTACTAATTGTCACTAGAAACTTGCCATGACGACACTAGCCCTCTTGGTTGCCATTTAATTGAAAAATTGCTCTTTATTCAAAATCTGAGCTAGATAGGTATAGGAAACCCTAATATAATTTGAAAGATTTTGATTGATTTTTTGATTTGAATCTGCTTCGGTTTATTTTAAAAAATACAGGGTGTTAGGTTAGGTTAAGTATTCGAAATAACAAAGTTTTTATGTAAAATAAATATTTAAAATAGACCAGCAATTTTTGGTACCCCTGTATACATTTAAGGAAGCAATAACATTTTTTAATAAATATTTCTTTACCTTTAAACTCAGCACAAGAATTAATTCTGAAAAGTAATGTACAGGATGTTTATAATCTATTCATTTGTAGCATGCATATTTAAATATATTTAAATATCTCAAAAACCAAAGATTTTAAACATATTTAACCCTTATAATAAATGCCTTTTTTGGGCCCAAGAATCCAAAAATCGAATAAAATACTGGATATTCTATAAGAAAAAATATAACTTTGGTATGGATCTTAGTTCTGAAACACCCTGTATATTTCGAAATAATTTTAAATTGTGCACATTGCCTACATATACCCATAAAATATTTTGTTTCTACATCTTTCCGTTGTCATATAATCAACCGAGGCGAATGAGGTGCGCCACCCTGTATAAACAAACTTTTAAATGTATTCAATAAAAATAAATCAATGCTATTCAACTTACTGGATCGCTTGTCCAACGATTTGGCATACTCGGCCTTTGCTGATCGATGGAAACAACCTTTCGCATATCATCGAAACTAGGATCGCTGGGCACTACATCATAAAACGGAGGTTTGCACTCCTCCGCTATGCCGTTGCTTACAGTTCTACGACATACTTCCCATAGAACTAAACCAAAGGCATAAATATCTGCACGTCTAAACGAATCGAAGTAATCCATGCGGATTCTGTAAAGAAAAAATTATAAGCATATAGAATAAATTATTAATAAAATAAGTCTATACCTAGCGAGCAACAATGCTGAAATAGTTCGTATAAATGTATGTCCTAAAATACTTAGTTTCGGAGATACAGGGTGTAGAAGTTTCATTTTTATTTCGATTTTTTTCAAATAATTTCAGAAGTAACGTCAATATTTCGATGAAAATTGGTGTCTGGGACATTTTTGAAATAAACCATTATTTCAAAAATGACAGATCATATTTCAATTTTATTGGTTTGACGCATAGACTTAAAATAAAATATAGACTGAGCATCTCATTCATAAATAGCTGGAACATGCGGTCAGACACTGTCTTGTTATTGTTGTGTTATTGTTTTAGGTTATAACGAGTGCGACACGAGAGATAGATAGGTTGTCTCTGTCGTAACGGTCGTTCCCTGACGACTCTGCCGAGAAACACAACACTGTCTTTCGTTTCTCAAGTACACCTGAACTCTCCGTATCATAGCCGGGTAATTTTTTTATTTTAATGAAGCTATAATTAAATTAAAAATATATCGTATTTAAACTTTTTTATATTTTATTAAGATTTTTTAAATAAAAGTTTAGAAAAAACAATTTAGAGTCCAAAAAGGATAAAAATAATAAAATACACGTTATAGAAGAAATTTTATCATCGAAATTAGGTAATTTTTGAAATTAATAATAAATTATTAATTTTAGTCAAACATTTACAACCCCTAATATTAATCAAAACAGGATCTATTCCACAGATATAATAGAATCGGCAACAGGGAGAGAAAAAAAATATGATTGTTGTAATTTTTTTTCTGGTTAAGTGATGTCTTATTATGTAAATTAGAGAAAACATAAATCTGTTCCATTAAAGCAAGGAAGGTGATAGGAAGTGGATAAAATAAAAACTACATTTATAACTCGGTACTGTCTTTATTATACCGGGTGCGTCTCAAAAGTGGCTCATCCCCATAATTTTTTTATATTTTCAAATAAAAAAAACAAGATTTAGTATGTTAGTATATGAAATAAATTAGGATTGATTGACGCATTCAATTGTTTTTGGTCACTTCCTGTTTCACCGGAAATGACTATAACTTTTAATTTTTAAACGGCACCCTCGGTATATTTCTACTTTATTCGATAGAAAATGACACTCTGAATAGAATGACATATCATATGTCAACTTTTGACATTTTCGCATATGGTTTAATTGTAATTGTAACACGCGGTTCATAACGACAATTTGACTCGAAATACCAAGTGTGTGGTATCATATATTCATAAAAAAATGCTTTTTCCAAATATGCTAATGAGTCACCCTTGTTCCATTTGAAAAAATTGACATATGTATGATTAAAAATACGATTTGTACATATTTTAACCGACTTAGACAAGACACGAAACCTATTAGACGATCAAAACTATTTTTCCAAGGCTCCTTGATTAAAACTTAGTGTTTTTAACAACACCATGGCACCCTGGATTGAAATTTAAAATACGATTTGTTTTTCAGCGACAATGTCAAAAGTTGACATATGATATGTCATTCTATTCAGAGTGTCATTTTTTATCGAATAAAGTAGCAATATACCGAGGTTGCCTTTAAAAATAAAAAGATGTAATCATTTCGGTGAAACAGGAAGAGACCAAAAACAACTGAATACATCAATAAATCCTAATTTATGTCATATACCTATAACATACAAATCTGTTTTTTTTATCTGAAAAAATAAAAAAGTTATAGGGGGTGAGCCACTTTTGAGACGACCCGGTATATTAAAAAATATTGTTTCATAATGTAATATCAATTTAAAATTCTTGTATGTTATTTTATATGCTCAAGATAATTTTAGAATAAACCATATTTTTAATAAAATCATTATTAATTATTAACAGGGTTATAATTATGACTTTGTTACAATGTAAGTAAGTAAATAATGTAATGAGAAAAAATTCAGATTTTACATTTTACTAAAATATTATCTAAATAAGCGCCTTTCTACAACAACGCCACTGGCTCCCAATGGGCAAATTGAGAGTTGTCTACCGGTCGAAAGTCGTTTCAAGACTTAAATGGATTATTTAAGTCAAATTTCTTGCAAATTTGGCACTGGCGAACCATATTTTATAGTTCTTGAACAGAAAAAGTCAATAAAATAAACACTTAAGGACTACAAACTAAGAAAATGCGTTAATACAGCCGGGGACATAGCGGCATCAAAGCTTTACCGCACACTTGCCACGCGTACTACAAGGTAATAAATGAATGAATAGGCTCCCTCGCCTCTAATCGGTGTTATCATATTGTAAAGAACTTATCCTTTTTAAACAGTATCCGACTTATAATTTAGTAGTATAAGGACTATTTAATACATCTATGGAATATTAAAACCTACTTTATTAAACTGTAGTATTAATATCTCAATATATGTGTATAACAAGAAAAAAGAATATTGATAATATTAAAGACATGACAACATAGGCTGGATGAGGAAGGCTCGGTCGACTGTACCCAGAAGTAAACATGTGTACAAAAAAGGTTGTTTGTCCGCGTTGAGATGTAAATAGTGTAGTCTATATTTTATTTTAAGTCTATGGTTTGACGGAACGATGAACGACAAACGGACGCCGATACGTATGAACTGGCCTTTAGATTTTTGAGACTTGTCAAAGTCTTGCCAAACTATAGGTTAAAATTTTGTGTCAACTTATGTCAAATATCTGCGTTTTGGAAGATGATGCATTTTGATCCGTGTTATTATTATCGTATGTATATTATTAAAAATTGAGGGAAAATTAACTGTAGACCCAGAGCACAGTTTATAGTTAATATTCGGTGCCCAGACAGAGAGTTTTATCACAGATTAGACAGATTATAAACTTTGTTTTTTCTTGATTGTTTTTCGTGGTTCCAATTTTTGGAATCGGGTACTAGTTAGGTTACTAGTTTGCGCACATAGCACGCCCACTGACCGGCACAGTTATTAGAGAGATATCTGGAGAAAGGTAAAACCGAATAGCGTCATGCAGTATTTACGCGTACCTTATCATGGTTACGATATGCGCGAGTCAATTTTTAACGCAACACCCGCTAATAACGTTACCGCCTGACGTAATTTGCGGATCAATTACACCAAGCGCTATTTCTAAATAACGTTTAAAATTTGCTTAAATGGGCATGTGCGGGTATTTGACAACCGGGGCCGGCCGGCGAGATCTATTATTTTAGGTTATGTTTGAATTGTTTTGAATTATTACTTTAGTTTTATTAGGTAATTTGATATTTAAGTAGTTGGGATTAGTTTTAATTAAATAAATATGACCCAAAATATGGATTCCACCTCTTCCAATATTAAAGAACCTATAAAGAGGCTTAGGTTTACAGCAGATGACGTCTTAGCCCTTCTAAGAGAATTTGTTGCTTGTTGCCCTAAACGCACTGGCAGACGTTGAACAATAAAGCACTGGAAATAAGCACTTTAGCCCTTCAGTTTTAAAATACCTAGTAAACAAAACATTTTCAAAGTTTTAAATTCAAAGTTAGGTTAAGTTTAAATAGCGGACGCGACGCGAACAGAATTCTTTCCAATCCGATAACTATAAATGAAGAGAGTTAAAACACCTGGCCTTATTAACGTCCATCCACGCTATTCGGTTTAGCGATATCTCTCTATTACGCTGTTTATTGTTATTTTACGCGAGTTTATTTTTGCGCAAAGGAAATTTTACTCGTTTGCACATCGTCATAGAAAACAATTTTCGTACTACGAATTAGGGATAAGATTTTTATCTGTATACATATGGTATACCTAATCTGTGGTTTTATACACAAATAACGTTACCATCAATAAAGTTTGTATACCATCTCGTCGTAGATAATTGCATCTCTTATACCTATGCTACAAGGATTGTACTAAACATATACTACCTGGAGCTGTAAAATATCGACATCACACGATAGGTAAATAATGGATTTTAGTACTGCAGAAAAATAATGTCAAAAGGTACTGGTTTAAAAAAATTAACAATGATTAATAAAATAGTTTCTTTTATTTATGTTGTTTTATTTATTCCTGTGAAATATTACAAATTTGTATTTGTACATAAGTTATATTGATAAATATAATAATAAATGCGGGAAGTTTTTTGAAGCTTGAAAGTAAGAAATAGTTCTTTTTTATATTTTTCTGGTAAGTGGTGTTTTGTTCTTGTTTGTTTTGTATTAACACATACCGTTTTTTTTAAATAAAATAACTTGATTACATTTTTTCAATTTTATACAGTTTTTTTTTACAATATTTTGCAGTAATCACTTATCAGTCAAATTTTAAATATATTAATTTCCTGCTATGCGTTCCAGTTGTACCAACTTATTTCTTTGTAAAATAAAATAAACTACTTTGAAATACACATAAAATGACAGACACATCTATCACTGTCAAGAATCTTATCTTTGGACAGACTATACGTGTATTTTTTGCTCAGTAAATAATGATGTAGATATAGATTATTGTTTGTAGAAAAAAAATCTTTCTCGGAAATAGCAATTTTCATTATTGTAACAAAATGTTTTATTAATAAATAAATAAATAGTAATAAAATAATTCTTACGTTTCGTCCAAGACTTCTGGGGCCATATACCGTTTGGTGCCAACACGTGGATTATTGCCAATATCAAGCTTATCAGTGGTCTGCGTATGGGTGACAGCCAATCCAAAATCAGCAATGCAGCACGTTCCATTTCGTTTCACTAATATATTCTTGCTCTTTATATCCCTGTGTGCGATAGCTGGTTTGCCCTTGAAAAACACAAATCAGTTTATTTTTAATACATCAGAAAGTATTTGAAAGTCAATTTTAATAAATATTGCCTAAAATATATTTATTTATCTAATTTTGATTTAAATATAAACTCAACTAAGTGACAAAAAAAGTTCGTTTTACTTTAACTGAAATAAAATGGAAGAAACCTAGAAGAGTCTAGAGGACTAGAGGACTGACAAAATCATTCAGTTTTCCGGCCCTCGCGGCCGCAGTGGAGTGTCCCAACTGGGACCCACTCTTAATCTAACTCAAACTTAATATTAATAAGAAAAAAATTGGGAGAGCTTTAAAAATTATACTTACTTGAGTACCAAAAATTTCTGTATGTAAATGCACCAGGCCATTGGCTATCGATAAACAAATTTTCATTAGTTGCTGATGACTGAGAGTCGTATGGTTCAAATAATCGTACAAACTTCCCAAGGAGTGGTAATGGGTGATAAGCCACAGCTGAGTGCAAGAGTTACGCGACGTCATATCCGAACCAATATATCCAAGTATATTTTCGTGGCGTAATAAGATTGTGCTAAAAATAAGTTATCGTTAATGTTAGGGAACTTAACTAGAGTTCAAATAATAAAAAATATTTTAATTCAAAAACATAAATAATTTAATATTAATATAAACCCACCTATAAATTTCAGTCTCTCTATTCCAGCTGGCTTCGTCTCGAGAAAAGAATATTTTTACAGCGATATTCTCCCCATGCCACACCCCTTTCCATACTTCGCCGTATCTTCCTTTCCCTATGCATTCCACTAACGATATTTGTTTGGCCATTGTCCTTTGAATTAACAGAGGCAATCCCGATCCACTACCAGAAGTCATGGACTGCTCTAAATATTCCCTTAAAGTACTGTCTCCAGCAGCTGTAGCTCTTAATAAATCATCCGTTACATAATATTGTTCTGGGTCCATTCTATTTAATTAAAGTAGCACATTAGTTTTATTTACTAATTAATTTTAAAGAATACATACCTGCTCTCCATGAATAGTCTGTTTTGATGAATTTTCTTCAAGAAATATAAAACTAACAATGCAATTACACCAAGAACAACTACCGGTCCTAAAATAGCAGCCACCATTTTAAGTGCAAATATAAATGATTCAGAATATGGAGTGTATGCTTCTTTATATACAGGAGGTAGTTCTGGAAAGCTTCCGTTATTACAGAAGTTTCCTTCGCAGCAGTCTACTTGATATAATCCACTCGCCTGTCTTTTATGATAAGCAGTAAAAGATGGCGTCTTGCACATGAAAATCACTTGTTCTGATTTAGTGGTGCAGCCCCTTGATACAGTTTCAACACCTAAAACCAATGTTCTGGTTTTATATAAATTAGAAATATGTTTTTACCTTACAAAATATTTTTTGGCTCTATACAGACATGCATCAATATTAAAAACACAATGTCAATGAAATACCATATGATCGAATAAAAACGGCGTCAGCGATGGCTATAAAATGAAAATCGAAGTCATTTTATATGTAAAATTAAATGGGGAATGCCATTGATGTTAATTTCCAAGCCAACTGACGCCGTTTTTTTCGATCATAAAGTATTTATAGTTACACACAAATTTACCCAAAAAATTTCTATCAAGTTTAAAGTTTATATAAGGTTGTAATACTTTACCGGAACTTTCTCGAACTCTAGATTTCCAACACTGCACTGCGTTATGACAAATTGTTTCATGTGAACAGTCTGGTGGATCACACGAATAGCACTTAAAACTTTTTAACTGGGTATGTTGTGAGTTACTCGTTTTATGAGATCTTTCCAAAGAATTGGGGTTTAGATCTCCAGAATTATCACTGTAGGACTCGTCGTCTTCAGATATACTTGGTAATTCGGCTACAAATAAGAAAAAAATATATTTACCTATAATTCCAATCAAATATATATACAAGGATTCTAGATGCAAGTAGTAGAATACAACAATAATAATTAAAATAACGTATTTATGAATATAAGATTAACGTAATACCTGCAATATAATTAAAACTTAAAATTATAAACCAACTTAAAATCTTTAAAGATGCGGAAGATGCCATTTTTCAACTTGGTTTTATTGTTTTATTGCATCTTTTTTTTTCTTCTTCCGCTTCTATGGCATTGAAAAATACCATTGCACTCCTTTTTAGATGTGTCAATTGTCATTGTCAATGGCATACAAACGAACTACCACAGAATATGATTTCAAGTTAAGGTGAGTTCAAATCATAAGTTCAAATGCAACCGCAGCGTCGTCCGTCGTACTCCAACTTTTTTACTCCAATCATATTCAACATATACATATAATAGCTTATAATCTATATTATATCTCTGAATAATATTCAATTGTGAGCTGTCATTTTCGAATAAACCAATAATATTCAACGACGGACGACGCATTATAGATGCATGTAAAAAAGATGTAAACTTTGTAAACCCGCACTTACCTTAAAACACAGTAGGTGACAGTAGTTCTGTGGTAGTTATTTGTGATTTGTGGTAGATATTTTGTACGGTATTATAATATGCATTGATAATATGTTTGTTTTTTGTTTACAGTTTATTCCTGGTTTATTAAAGATTTTTATAGTTGTTAAAGATCTAGTAAATCTTTTCAGATATTTTCAACTTTTTACATAGGTTTTTTTCCTATTTTAATCTCTAATATTAATAGTAATACCGATTACTTACCTGTTTTAGTATTGTATTATGTTCCAATAATTAATAATCCCGAAGTATCTTGTAGGTATGTAACAAAATTTTGCTGTTTTAATAAAGTGATTAATTTCTAAATCTACCAAGAGAATTATTTTATTTTTATCTCAATTTATTAATATTATTTTATACTATTAGGCTCACCAATGTCATATATGTTCAGTGATATTATCAAGGCCTGTGATGAAGAGATGAAGTTGTTCTAGCAATATACTGAATAATCCTGGTAGCTGAAACTATAAAACTAAAATACTACTTCTAGCTAGCGACTTTAGGATAGCTACTTATATAGGTACATAATTTAATATGAAATGTATATATAAAAAGTAAACTTTTAATACTCTAGACAGCGACAGCTATGCCTACAGTAATTTTGCTCGATGCCTCATTATCAATGACTAGACCTATCCAGTTTATAGATGGGATAGAAACAACCAGAAAACAGCTAGCTATAACAGGCATAAATGCCTTTCTAGATCATCTTAGTGTTCATTCCAAACTGGAGTTTATTGCGCTGGTAAGGTTTCTTGTTACTATAATTACTTTTTGTTATTCTAATTTTTGTTTACCTGTATCTGGACTGTAGTTCGCAAACTGTTATTTGATTCATAGCCTAAATGACACTCTGATTATTTTCGAATTATATACATAGTAGCTTTCGAAGAACATAGTAGCTTTCATAGAAACACCAGAAGTTAGTATTATTTTTAAATGGGGTGTAGAGTGGACTTATTCTGGTAATACCCTTATTCCATATTGAATATTGAGGAATTTTGGAGTGCACTGTATACATTAATCGCTTTGTTTAAAATTTGCTACGTGTATTTAGCATTTATATTTTTATATTTTTTTAATATAAGAAATTCAAAGAAGAAATCACGAAGAAATTTCCTCATATTAAACTCTCGTCATATATTTTCTTACTTGACCACTGATTATATGTGTGTATGTGTCATATAATATGAACATGCGATCAGTGATATCCGACATGTGTCCAACTGTTTTTGACAGTTCTCCAAATTGAAATTTGGAAATTGAAATTTTCTTTAAAAATGAGATTGGGGTAGTTTGTAGTTAAATTTATCCATAATTTCTCGGAAATTTAAATGCTGTTGGCGATAAACGTTGTGAAGTTAACTGAATTATTAAGCCACTAATTCATATTTTCCGTAAGTTGAGACTGTTTTCTGTATTTCAAATATAAACTTCCATTAATTTTCAGAAGTTTGTGGCATTTAACATAACCTGCTGTATAATACTAGGTTATGAATTAATACACCATGGAAGAAAGATCTCCTTTAACAAATTATTGCCGAACAGTTGCAATTCGTTACCATTTTGTTGTAAGAAATAGTGATAAAAATGATTTTTACATCGAATTTGTACCAGAAGAAGTAAGACAACTGGAAATTACCACTCATCCAGATGAACCAGATGATACCATAAAACCTGAAGAAATTGAATATATAGATGATGTAGATTATTTGAGAAGCTTAGATCCTAAAGAATGGAAATCGCAAGATCACTACAAGGTATTGGGCATAGAAAATTTAAGAATAAAAGCTACCGAAGACATTATTAAAACTGCTTATCGCAAGAAAGTTCTGAAACATCATCCTGATAAGAGGAAAGCATTAGGAGAAGAAATAAAACCAGACGATGATTACTTTACTAATATTACTATGGCATATGAAGTTCTTGGAAATCTCCAGAAGAGACGTGCATATGATTCAGTTGATCCAGAATTTGACAACAATATTCCAAGCAGTTCTGATATAAAAAAGGATTTCTATAAAGTTTTTTCTTATTATTTCAACATTAATTCAAGATGGTCAGAAAAAAGAAATGTACCTAAACTTGGTGATAGAAATTCTTTACGTGATCATGTTGAAAGGTTTTATTCCTTTTGGTATGACTTTAAGTCTTGGAGGGAATTTTCTTATGAAGATGAGGAAGATAAAGACAAGTGTCAAGATCGCGATGAACGTAGATATGTAGATAAATTAAATAAAGCAGAGCGTCAGAGAAAGAAAAAGGAGGAAATGCTTAGAATTAGAACTCTTGTAGATTTAGCTTATAACAATGATCCAAGAATAGCAAAGTTCAAGCAGGAGGATAAAGAAAAGAAGTTAGCTGTAAAAAGAGCGAAACAGACTGCTGCCCAACAGCGTAAAGAAGAGGAAGAAAGAGCCCTTAGGGAAATACAGATTGCTAAAGAGAAAGCCGAAGCAGCTGAAAAAGCTCGAATCGAAGTCAAGAGACAAGAGCGTGAAGCAATCAAGAAACTATTAAAGAAGGAGAGGAAGCTTCTGAGGGATACTTGTAAAGCAAACAATTATTTTACAGACAATAATACTAATTCGTTTCATTATATAACTACAGTAGAATCAATATGTGAAAACCTGAGTGTAGAGGAGTTAGAGTTAATAAATAATAAAATTAAAAGTAATGGTAAAGCGGCATTCCTAAAAATTGTGCAAGAGTACGAAGAAAGTTTAGAGAAAGAAAGACAAGCTGTATTAGAATCAACAAGGCAGAAGAATAATCATGGTGATGTTCTAGTGAGAGCGGCTCCCGAATGGAATGAAGAAAATTTGCAATTATTAGTTAAGGCAGTAAATTTATTTCCCGCTGGAACAAACCAGAGATGGGAAGTAATAGCAAACTTCTTAAATCAACACGGACAATTTAAAAAAGATAGTACTCAGTTTTCTGCAAAATTAGTTTTAGCCAAAGCTAAAGATTTACAAAAAACAGATTTCTCCAAAAATAATTTGAAAGAGCAAGCGAACAAGAAAGCTTTTGATACATTCAAAAAAGAGAAGAAAAATGTTATAAATATGGAAAACGATATTTCTCTCAAGTTGGAGGAAGTTTCAATAAGCGATGTTAAAAATAATTCTGAAATTAATAACAAAACTACTGAAAAAGATATTACAACAAATGGTACAAAAGAACCAGTTACTAGACAAGAAAAAGTATCAAAATCTGATCAGCCTTGGACGGCCACTGAACAACAACTTTTGGAACAAGCTTTAAAAACATTCCCGGCTTCTACAGCGGAACGGTGGGATAGGATAGCAGAAAGCATACCGAGCAGAACAAAGAAGGATTGTATGAAACGATATAAGGAACTAGTTGAAACTGTTAAAGCCAAGAAAGCAGCTCAAGCAGCCATTGGTGTGAAATAGTGGACATTTGTATTACTATAAATATATTTATTATAATATTATAAAATTTGACCTTAGCTGTTTGAAAGGCCAAAAGTTTCTCAGTTTTATTGTATCATTTCATTGAATAAACCGTGTTTCCCTAATTTTGTTTGTTTTATTTTAGTAAAAATACAATATAGCTATTTAATTTTGCCTACACAAAAAAATATAAGTAAATTTACAAAACGTAATATGAATATATTATATAACATCATAGTTACTCATTTTACTACAGCTGTAATAAATTATATCATCTTCATTTTAGTAGCATACATGAAAGTTTTTAAAATAGTTTATTTTTTCTACACAAATTTTCCTACAAACGTAAAAAGCCGGCAACACTGTATGTCGCTTTTTATTTTATCTCTCTGTCTGTCAACCGGTCATTTATATTTATCTCTGTCGCATGCTTTAAAATACAGCAGTGTGATTTTGTAAGCACCGTTGCAAGAAACTTCTTGCCTAGCCTATGTTATTTTTATACAATTGATGAGTCACTAGATAGGAAATATGTTTACAGAATTGCACTGCTGACCAAGCAGATGAAGTGACCAGCAGTACGATTCTGTAAACATATTTCCATCTAGTCACTCATCAATCGTATAAAAATAACAGGCTAGGCAAACAATTTCTTGCTATGGGACTTACAGAATCCCACTTCAGGGCTAATATGTAGACCGGGCTAAAACTAAAGGGTCGTTTTAATTACATTTTAAATTTACACTTCCAGATAGCATTCTCCTCTTTATACGAAGAAAGATGTTCTTTTACGAGAGATTACAATGTAATAAAATCTGAACTAAAAAATATTGATGATTATGATAAAACATGTCTAGAAACTGCATTTCATGGCGTAAATCAGATGATATTAGGAGAATGGGGCAATAATACTGTTTGTCAGGTAGGTACGTTTTTTAAGCAATTAAATTAAATGTTATATTACACTTTCGTTTTATACTTGATGGAATAATTTTCAGATAATACTGATAACAGACGGCAGTACAGGCATCGGATCAATGTCTCTTAAGGAAACGCTCACCCTAGATAAAGCAGTTGGTTCGATGCCGTTTTCCTTACCGTTCTCATTCCCCGCCAAATTACACGTGGTCTGCATTGCGGGAGCAAATGAACCAAGTTTTATAAAATGTAAGCACTTAAAATAAATTTAAGTATGTCCACAATTTGTACTGTTAATTATGAGCAGATAAGGATAAAAGAAGTACCACTAGTAGTACTCTCTGAGCTGTTACGGAATTTTTACAATCGCCATTCGCTTTGGCATTAAAATGTGTGCGAGGTAGAGGTGTGTAGTCCGTGAACGAACTAGTTCCAATGAACTATTCCGTCCCTGGAATGAAAGGAAGTAGTTCCTGGTTTCTCAAATAACTAGTTCCTCAGGACCTATTCCGGGATCGAGACTGTGACCGATATATAATAATATGCGACGACGACGGATCGGCCAGCGCGATTGATGCTAGACAGGCATGGGGAGTGCCAGCCGTATGTTATCGGATCCGGACCTAGAGGAACTAATTAAAAGACTAGTTCACGGGAATCTGTTCAATCGGCAGATCCCAGATATATTGCAAGGCGATGACGATGGATTCGGCCTTGTCTATTGCCACAGCCGGCGTAATTACCACAGAAAATTGTCGTGGATACTGTTTTTGATTTTTAGTTTGTTCCTTAAATATTTTATGGGAATGTTTCACTTTAGGTCACTAAAATTAAGAAATATCTTATAAAACGAAGTAGATATTCTGAATTTTTAGACAAAAACAAAAAGCTTAAAGTCAGGAAAAATACAATTTTCAATTCAATACAAAATGTAAAATTTTCTTAATATTTGCTTCAATTGATTCGTGATATAGTTTTTAAACTCTGATTTGAGTTTCTTTTTTAATTTTTTTTTATCTGCAATAAAACTTACGTATATATTTTTAACATACACAATTACACGTCTCGTTATATTTCGTACATTATAAAAATTATACAGATCATACTGTAAATAGTTCTGATTGACAATGAAACCCATTAACAAGCACGGGGATGTCAATGTTAGTCGGGAACTATTGTGAACTAAAGACCTAGTTCAAGGAACTATTCCCCTGGAGGAACTAGAACTAAAGAACTAGTTCCTCCCAAGGAACTAGAATTCCCACCTCTAGTGTAAGGGTACCAAATTTCATTAAAAACTGTTTACCAATGTTCTTAAAAATAAACAAAATATATTATTTTTATTTAACCTTTCGAGGGCTGTAACTTCTTTAGGAAGCATTTTAGGGCATATGTTCATATAAACTTTTTGTTTTATTTTTATCTGTAGAATCACCCACAAAAGTTAGATACACTATTTTTTTGACACCCTGTATAGCTGCATTTTTATTAAGTACTTCTTTGGATTAGATATCTCATTCTGAGATATCTCAATTCCGGAATCCCGGGATTATAGGTTCTTATACCGGAATTTCAAAACGGGATCCCGATCCATAAATTGGAAACGCTAATTACATATAAATAAAATAACAAAACTTATTACACTATCCCCTTATTCTTTTTAACGTATCGTTTTAGCTCGACCATTATACCAACGTCTTATTGATATGAGTGGGTATGACGGTTCAATACAAGTTCTAGAACAATTACAAAGTGAGGCTGATATTATAACATTATTTCAAAAGTTAGCCGAAGAAATTTATATTTCGTTTAAAGGAGTACTGAAATGTGGAAGTCTAGATTCAAAGATCATCCTATCTCCGGCACCTGTGGTAAGTATCTACAACTCTAGTTTAGGCTGGTATTCATAGTCAATCACTAGGGAGTCACCACGATGCATTAAAAAAGTTTAATATTATCGTTGATTGAAAGAATTGGGAAGATACGCAACGTAATTGGCAAATTCGTGACAAGACTGATTTGATTTTCCCTTACGTCCCAAGTGCTGTACAGGGTGGGTCAAATTCGACGCTTTTAAATGGAAACACCCTTTTCTATAGGAAATAGACGAAAACTAATATCGGTGTCTGGAGCTCAATTTTTATCAAAAACATGATGGTGAAAACCGCACATCAATATCTGTTACCGTTTCGGAGATACGGTTTTTTTTTCAAAAATGTGCATTTTTAACAAATCGCTGTAACTTTTTTGCTATGGAAAATTTTGTATTTCTATGAAAAAATTTCCAAAGCACCTTTTTACGTAGAATTTAATGGTTTAAGTATAATTTTTTTAAAATTAATAATTTAAGAGTTATCAACAGAAAATTTGATTTTTTATTTGAGACACCCTCTATATTTTTAATTAACCGAAAAGAATTTAAAATTACCTTTCCAAAAATAAAGCACACTTGATATTTTGTTATAATCCCCTTCGAAATACAGAATTTATAAAAGTTCGCCACTTTTAACTAATAGGCTTTGGACCCCTTATTGATGATATGCCCTTAATGGAACTCGAAAATATATTTTTCCAGCAAGACGACGCACCGCCTCTGAAAGCTGAAGTTATCAGCAAATTTTTGCAGCCAATTTCAAGAATAATTGAATAGCTAACCAAGATCCCTGCCGTTGGGCGTCGAGGCCGCCTGACTTAGTGCCCATGGATCTAATCCTATGGATATATTTGCGGAAGAATAAAGATTCCTTATTCTTCCGTATAATCTAGCCAAGAATTAGAAATACTTAGCAGTTATGAGAGGGTATCTTTCACCCCCACCGAGTTAATGAATTCCGCGAGAAATGTTCAAAAACTGCCCCGTCTGTCCATAACAGAAGACGGTTGATATGTTGAACACCTGTAGCAAAATGTCATGTCTTGGTCTGCTATTTATTTTTATTGTTATTAGATATAGCTTAAATGTTTTGATGTTGGTTAAATATATTTTAAATTGCTATATAATTCTGCATCTCTGATAGCAAATATTATTTTCGTTTTAATTGATGCTCACAGCTGGAATTTTTTTGCATTACAGTCGGTGCCGTTCAAAGCCTACTTATTTAAAGCGGGCGAATTTTTATATACTCTATACCTCGAAGAGGAATCGAGCAAAATATCAAGCGTGTTATATTTTTGGAAAGGTAATTTTAAATTCTTTTCAATAAATTAGAAATATACAGGGTGTCCCATATAAAAATTCAAATTTTCTGTTGATAATTCTTAAATTATTAATTTTAAAAAAAATATACTTAAACCATTAAATTCTACGTAAAAAGGAGCTTTGGAAATGTTAAAATAACAACTATATAAAAATACAAAATTTTCCAAACCAAACTCCGTAACTCCGAAACGGTAACAGATATCGATATGCGGTTTTTACCATCATGTTTTTGACAAAAATTGAGCTCCAGACACCGATATTAGTTTTTGTCTATCTCCTATAGGAAAGGGTGTTTCCATTTAAAAGCGTCGAATTTGACCCACCCTGTACAGTGGAGACACAACTCGTTCTGTGGCCAAAGCATAAAGCTTCATTCAGAACGCAATTAGTGGAATAAATTAGTGGTTTCAATTAGCACAGAAGTTTGTTCCTTTAATTTCAATGTAAGCATTCAGAAGGTTAAAATTAGTGGTAGACATTTTCAATTAGTAGAAAAAGTTACCTAACTTTTCACTTTTCCACTAATTATATTCAAAATTTACGAGAAATGTCATTTTGGTCCATTTTTGGCCTTTGATTATCTTCCGTCAAAAGAAATTGTGGTTAGAAATCAAAAGTTGATTGTTTTATAAGCTGAATATTGGACTTTCTCTATGGATACAACTGACTAACGCAAGCTGTTGCTAGGATATTCTATTAATTTTAATTGCGTTTTTTAAACATTGTGAATGATTGTAAACTAAAAATTATACATTGTAATTGAAACCACTAATTTATTCCACTAATTGCGAGGTTCTGAGTGAAGCTTAAAACATTCATTTTCTCTAAATCGGCCAGCGAAGGCATATCGAAGACAGCGAAGGCATATCGGAGCATAGAGAATTATAAAATAAAATTTATTTTAGTTACTTTATGTTGTGGAACTGAAGTCGACAGTATCCCCAGATTAAAATGTGTAGTGTCTGTAATACGTTTGACGTAAATAATCTTTGGATGAAAAATCCACGT